ATGAGATTATGATCTAGGGTTATTAATTTAGGGTTTTAAATTAGGGGTAGATATAGAATGATGCAATTAAACAAATTCGAAGGCTAAATTGATGCAAAAATACGATAGGGGAAAATGATAAATTGAGTCTACTACAGGGACAAAGGTGACCCTTAAGTCGATTTTTGCCATGTTTAATTTTGTTTGATTACAAATTACATGATCTTTTCTTTTGACATTTAGCAACATGAATGAGGGATTCTTCCTTCAATAGAAAAAATGTGTAGTAAGCTAAAAGAGATATGACCTAAACTAATTTACCATAGTTACTCCGTGTAACTAATATCGACTTAACAAGAACATCTTAAATGTTCAAAATGGGATTTTATACTATGTTTGTTCACTTGTGGTATGAATGGTGAGACTTGCAACAGCAATTATCTAACCCAAAACTGAAAAACTGATGAAAAAGATCAATAAACCTTTCTCAGTTTGCAAAACAACTTATTACAAGCAGTATTTAAAAAGGCACGCTTGAGGCGCGCTTAGGCGCAAGCGATGAGCCCAAAACGCTTAATTAAGTCTGGGCGAGGTGAGTTCAATAAGGCGCTTAACAGAACCAAGATGGTGACCGAGGATTGGAAAATTAATACAAGATTTTATGGTTTTTAGAGGCTGATAGTTTGTGCTTTTTTTCTAAATGTGATTTTACAGAGGACCTTACATTGCCATTAAAATCCAAAATAGGAAGATAAGGGTTTTGTCTAAAAGCTAGCTTTGTCTATTTACAGTGTATATGCTTCCTATTGCATGATAAAATGCAATGTTATATGCTTTTTGATTGGAAAGTTAAAGGTAATTAATGAAATGGAGAGCTTTTGTTGAACTATTATATGGTTTAATGGTCTATTTTAGTAAGTTATATATGCAGATTAGTAAATAAATCTTTAATTTTGCGCCTAGGCTATAGGACCCCTATCGCCTTAGTGTGCCTTGCGCCATTTTTTACATTGATAACAAGTAAACAAACCTCATAAGAACGAAGCTGTTTCACACATTTAGGTTTGCAACCCTCTTCAAGATACTGCTTCTGATCAACAGGTTCCTCATCCGCCCTAAAATGTTTTCAAATGATAACTTAGATATGGGCATGGCATTGAAAGAAGTCACAAATTTGATGAAAATAACATTATATTTTTAAGGATTCAAAAATGATGAAATCAGAAAGCAACTGCGGACTACAAACAAGGGGAGAAACACTCAAAGAATTATAAGAAACTACTATTTTCAGGATATACCTGCAATTTCCTGATAATTGATGTTGGTGTCCACTTCTATTAGATTATAAAAAACTATTTTGATGTTTGAACGCTTTAAGTTATTTCTTTTCCCATTCTTTCCCGGAGAACTCCTTATCCTATGCCCTCCCACTCCTTGTCCTATGCCCTCCCACACTTATCCAGTTGGTTAGACTAGATAAGAAAAAAATTGCTTATTGAGTTCGAATTTGAAACCATACAAAATCATATATTGCTCAACTGCAGTGTCCAGTGTTGCTCCATACAAACAACCCCCAATACCCAACGCCATACTTGAATCACAAACTTATCCATATATACAAGCTTCATGCACGGATCAATAAACCAATAGAGAGAACTTCCAACAAAATAAATCCAAAACAAAATGCTTCGTCAAACTCACACCACTTGCAACACATGATCAAACAGATGCAAACATATATATTTAACAAGTAAAATACAGAAGGGGAAAAGAAAAACTTACATAGCAAATGAATAACTTAACAGCGACGTGTTTTGGAGGTTACCTAACAAATAAATTACAGAATCAACAACATGAAGCTGGAAGTCAGCAAATTTGCAAAACCGTAAACAGATTAAAAAATAGTAAAATTGAAAAACAAAAGAGATGAAAGTTCTCATTTAGAACAAAAGAAAACATGAAAAATGAAATCAACTAAACCCAAAACCCTAGATTTACAGATCAAATGGAATAAGAAATAGGCGTTGACGGAAAAGAAAATGAGAATACCTTTAGGATAGCTGCAGAAATTTCTAAGCTACGGAAACCCTCTCTCCCTGCGGAAAAAACGAATATAAAACAAACGTTCGCTTGACTCAGTGTTCATGGTTCAATTTTAATCAAATTAATCCATCGATTGGAATTTAATTTAATTATTCCTTTAGTTAATTTGATATTTTATGGGTTATTTCTTTTTAAAAAATTGAAAAAATTGTATATATTAAGTTCAAACCCTTTATTTTTTTTTTTGGGTGAAATAAGAAAATAGAATTACTTAGACAGTGCTGATGGCATCTGACTGTAACAACGGCAACACCTCCAAAGGGGGAGTTTCAAACTTGAATAAATCCGAAGCACCTGCAGTGGCCATATTTGCCAGGCGATCCGCTACTTTATTACCATCTCGAGCCACATGTTGCAGCTCCATAATCCAATCCCCCCGCATCAATTACTCGATCCATTGAAATTTAGTTCAATTATTCGGTCGTTAATTTGATATCATGTTTGGTTAAAAAAATTTAAGGTTCGAATATCAGTCAATTTAATTTGAAAGCAGTTAACTAGTTGGATAAGTCGAAAATATTAAATATATATATATTGAGCTCAAATCTTAAGAATTAATTATTTTTTAATCGCTTTAGACTTATTAAACTTTCAAGACCCTATTAAATTTTAACTCGATAAAAAAATATCTATTAAATTCAAATTAATCTTACTAAAAAAATTGGTTTAATTAATTAAAGAAAAAAATAATTTAATTTTGAGTAATTTTATTCGATCGACGTCCAAATTAACGTTTAAACACCCATAATCAAAAAATAATTGGATTGATCATTTTTCTTTTCATTTTTTTTTATATATTTTTGTTTATTGAATTTAAAAGAATGATGTTTCCTATTTATATTATATTAAATTTTAGTTAAATATATTATCGATTGTTATATTTTGGTCACTAAGTTGTTAATCCTGTTAGTTTGATGATGTGACAAGTTAGTAAAAAAAAAGTTAAATTTTAATTTGATCGAAGAACTTTAGATAAAATATTAATTTGATCTTAAATTTTATATGAAATATAATCTTAACTTTTAAATTTTAGATAAAAAAATTAATTTGATCTTGATTTCAACCAAAATCTATCATCATCGATCGAGACTGACCGCCCTCACCCTCATTATTGAGAGTGAACTGCTAGTCTACAATAAACCCATAACAAAAATAAAATCTAAAACAATTCTGATAATAAAATCTTAGTTTGGGGGGGACCCCACTAAGAAAGTGAGGGAATGGAATTCTATAGCAGTTTATAGTCTCGCCCATGTAAAATTTTGGATGTTGCTGCTGCAAACAAGACACATGCACCGACCAATAGTTCTCTCGCTGTAAAAAACCCTTCAACCAAAGACTGTCACAACAAAGTGGATGGTCATGGTTGGAGAATCAGGATGTCAATCATTTGTGCGGCTCGTGTTTTTCATTTGACTCGTGAGTTGGTCACAATTTCGATGATCAGATTATTGAATGGATGTTATATCAAGTCGAACCTTCCGTTATAGCTGCTATCGATACCCAGACAATTCTCACCAATTTCTCCGCTCGTGGTTTTTTTTTTTTTTTTTTGACTCGTGAGTTGGGTCACGATTTCGATGGTCAGATTTTTGAATGGATTTTATGTCAAGTCAAGCCTTCCGTTATAGCTGCTACCAATACCGAGACAATTCTCACCAATTTCTCCACTATGTCAGCTTCCCTCGCGGTCGGGGCAATTTAACCTCTCTATTGTTGACGATGACGTCTTTGGACCATAAGCCTTTAGTAGGTCTCACTAGTTTTATTCTTGAGAAATAAGTTAGGTCCAAAGATAAAAATGCTAGCAACGAAGATTCTGTGACGATCACGAAAAGACCATATATAGGGTCCCTAGAGAGAAATATTAATACCATGTTCAATAAGATACACATCATTGAGGCATCGATATCGGGCAAATATTCAAACTTTAAAACTAATTTGAGTAATGATTTTCAAGATGAATATCGATACTATAAAAGAGAGTTTCAATATCGTTTGGATAGTTTCAATATCGTTTGAATCGATACCAATTAAAATTTATCAACATCAAAGCCTATTTTGTATTGATGTTGAAGGTGAGTATCAATAATCTTAGGATAGACCGATACTCACAACTGAGTATCTACACCAATTGAAATTACTTGAATTTCGAATCTTAATCTGGTTTGATACCAATACTCATTCTTGAGTAGTGATACCATTACTCATTCTTAAGTATTAATACCATCAAAGTAAAACGTAGAAGATTCTTGCATTTTCTTGGAATGATTTATAACCTTCGTCAAGAAGATTAGACTTGTACGTTGTGCATAATTGAGCGTGATTGTCTTCTTGATAACTTACTTCTAATGATTAATAATTTTTCATGAGTTAATGCATGTGATCAAAATGGTAGTGTTTGAATATGGGGTTGCATTGGTTTCTGTTTCGATAAAAATGCCTATGGCACACGCCAAATACGACGATGTGGTACTTCAGCAAACTGTACAAGCCATGTAGCCTGCACGTTTCTATAGCCGAACTCACCGTTGGTTATGATCTCGGTTACTATGATGTTAGCCTTATAGATGGCTTTAGTTTACCTGTTGTTGTCAAGCCTGGTGGTGGTAAAGTAAACTGCAGCGTTGCCGGTTGTGATGGAGACTGGGGGCAAAATTGTTGGTTTCCGGAGGGGTTGCGATGCTTTAAACATGGATGATTTTTGTTTTCGTGGTGCGTATAAAGATCCTGTGTCATGTTTGCCAACAGATTATTCCAAAAGCTTCAAACAAGTATGCCCTGCAGCATCATGCTATGCCTATAACCATCGTGTTGGCGTCATAACTTGCTCTGCATCAGATTATTTGGTAGCATTTATTGCAACAAGGTAAAGCTCGTAAAAATTCAAAACACATAAAAATCTAATAGCATTGAGAAAAGGGTATTAGCGATGGTATATGTTGCTAAGTGACCTACAGGACAGGGATCGGGGTAGCAGCCTCCAGCGTTCACTCTTGCACTGGCGTGTGCGCCGTTCCGCATAAAGTGATTTAGGAACAATACAACTTGCACCTACCAAGATCAGAAGTTTGTTTGCAGCAATACATCGGATGGCTTCAAAGCAATCTCTCAAAGTTGGAGGAGTTTGATGCTGACATTATTACCATTGGCATCCATTTTACAATTTTTCTCCTGTTTTTAACAAAGCTTCTTGTTAATCATAAGCTGTACACCCGATCTCTTCCCTGAGGATCTTCACAGCTTCTGAAACTCCATCCTGAAAACGAAATAAGTTCCAGATAATCTCAGTACCCCCAACAGAACCAAAAATTGGAAGAGGGAAGGAGTAAATCCAAATAAAATAGATGCCACAATAGGGTAGGTTGGAAATGGGTGGGAAATTGGGATTTCGACAGTTGATGTGTCTCAAACAATATACAAAGTTATTTGAAATGCTGATCTGCCATCCAAACACCAGTTCTTCTCAACCAATGATATTTTACAAAAGATGATGAACCATTAGCTGCCATCAGTTTATTACTGCTATTGCCTATTGGCATAACCAGGCTAGTACTTTATGCAGTATCACCAAGTAAATTCATGATGCATCGATGACAATGATATCATTCATAATGGCACATTTACACAGAGGGTTAATCTCAAAAGTGAGGAATCACTGAAGTCAATGTGTTGGCATTCACTTATGGAGATTAGGCAACCAATCTTTTACCATATAGTTCTACATAATTATTACAGATCTAATATTGATAAGATTTGATTAAATAAGTGGACGGTAAAAAATATAGTACAAAGGCAGTCATTACCTCGGGAGAAATCCTTTTACCAATTTCTAATGCACATTCTTTGATTCTAGGAGATAATGCATCATGTATTGCTTGTGATAGTACATTTGCTTCGACCCTGATACTTGTGTTACAAATATTTTCTGGAACGAGGTGGTTTCTACTCAAAGGTTCTGGAGCAACTCCAAGCCAAAACATTTTCTCCGCCCAGTAGAATTGGTCCAGCATAAACGGACATATAATCTGCCATGCAATGATAGTTATCTTTGAGAAAAGGATGAAGAACACCACAACAATACAAACAATACAAATGTAAATTACAGTTGACAAAAGCATGTAGACTACAATGAATTTATATGAAACTGTAGAAAACAGAATAAGTCTCTGTTATTTTTATTCTTGTATATTTCAGTAGGGCATATTACATCTTTATATACAAACTATGTCTCTAAACTAGGAAACTCTAACTTAGGAAAGATACTAATCCTAGGAGATGTAATCCCTTGAAATAAGGGATTGAAACAGAAAGAATAATTACAGAATCTCTTAAGGGATGGAACAGCTCATTTCTATAATTCTACAACCTTACACTTACATAACCTACAGAAACTGCTGTTGCATTCCATATATGATGCCCATCACCATCGTTAAATGCCATCCACAAGTAAAAATAAATCAAATGCTAAACAAAAAATCTGCTTTAACAATAAGAGAGATCTTCAACAATGAGTATAGTTGAATAGGGTTTACCATGCAACTGACCTGAGGGATACCAGCATGTAGTGCAGCAGCAGTGGATCCACTGGGTTCCCATTGAAGAAAAATAATGCAATTAATAAATCAAAAATATTTTCTGCATTGCATTTAACTGAAATAAGATGACCATATAATGAGAATAAATATGAGGGAAAATTCTCACCTCCCTCCATGATGAATTGCAGCTACACATTTCGGGAACAGCCAATTGTAAGGTATCATACTAATTTTGCAAGATATAACAAAATTCAACATAAAAATGTTAGGTTTTAGAAATAGATATGGAATGTGACGTTTAAAAAAATAGTCCAAAAAGCTTATCATCCTAATCTTTCTGGAAACACTTCAAATCTGTATCATTATGATCTCGAGGAACTTGTGAATTTTACAAATTAGTTTTCTTGTTACTTTCTAAATCAACAAGTTTTTGATGCGCTGACACCTGTGAGCACATATCTAAGGAAGACACCTGGAGTGAATAAACTTACAGATTTGTCCCCCTTGGGGATTGTCTTGTTCCAAGACCCATATAAGAATCTGGGAAATATAAGGTGGTTTCACACTCTGATCGTCCACTTCCCCAAGTCATGCCTCCCACTACTACATCCAACTACATTACTTGCTTATTTCAGATTTTTGTTGCACTATAAATAACTGAACCCCCAAAGCTATTTGGTTATAAACTTGCTAATGGGTCCTGGCTTTGTTTATTATCTTTGATTTGTTTATCAGCTTTGCATTAGGAGTTTGATCCTCTTCATACAGAGCATTTATCAGTGAATTTATACAATAAGGATTTTCTTTTAATTCCTTAGCCTACTGTCCAACGTTATCCTTGCTTCTATCAGCCTTCAAGTTCAATCTTTGTCTTTTTTTTGGTATCTGGAAAAAAATTAGAATTTTTTTTTTTGATAAGAAGCGGAGGCCTCGTTAAAAACCCCCTTCATGATTAAAGGACCGCCAAGAGGTGCTCCTTAATCAGCAGAAGGAGGAAAAGAGTGCCTCAAGATTCATTAAAAACATTCAGATATATAATGTTTAAAAAACAACCAAACCCCCTTACAAAGAACAACCCGAAGCACTCAAACAAACACCCTACACAAAACAATGAAACTAACCAATACCAGCCTTAGCTAAACCATCAACCTCTATATTATATGTTCTAGCAACTAATCTAATAACACCCTCCATATCTCTTAAAGTAGCAGCAATGTCCTTTACTAAATCAACATAAACAAAAGGACATCTATCTAGATTCTTATCCCATTCCATTGCTAGTTTACTATCAGTTTCAACGATCAAACGATTCTTGAACTGATGACGTAGAGAGTCAAAGAAAATTAAACCCTTCTTAATGGCTTTAAGCTCCATCAAAGGAGGACCTGGTCCAGTAGCATCTTGGAAAGAACCCATCACAATATCATCCTCATCTCTTAATAAACCACCTATACCACTTTTTCTCCAATCACCACACACATTTGCATCCACATTCAGTTTTAGAAATCCCTTTGGAGGAGGAAACCAAGGCACAATATTTAGAATCGAATTCCTGGAAGAAGAGCATAAATCTGCAACAGAGGGATCACTAATGAAAGAGTCCTTAGAAATAGATACATCCCTAAACTTAGCTAAGAACCAAGAAGCGAGTGTAAATCTTGCCATAAAAAATAGATCAATCTGATCTAACAATCCCCCTTCAAACACAATGACATTTCTGACTTTCCAAATAGTCCAAAGAACGACTCCTGGAATAAAGGACCAAATAGAAGAATAAGACACCAAATCATCCCAAGCTAATAAAAAACTTTGAGTATTGTCATGAAAAACCGAACTAACTTCCCAAAAATTCAAGAACTTATTCCATAGGGACCACACCACAGAGCAGGTGAAGAATAAATGAGAGGGAGATTCGATCTCCCTTTTACAAAAAGGACAAGCACAATCTACAATCTCCAAAACCCCTCGCTTTTGTAATTCAGACTTTACTGCCAATTTCTGATGCACAACCTGCCACATAAAAGTCTCCACTCTTGGAGGCACTAGTCCTCTCCAAATGTTTTTCATCCAAAAAGTCTCAACTTCCGAAACATAGTAGCATAACTTGACACAAGAGTTGACAGAAGAAATACCTTCCCCATTTCCTTTCCAGATCAGACCATCTCTTGACACTTGGGACAGAGTAATATTATGAATGATAGCCAATAAGTCTGAAAACTGATCCAGTTCCCAATCACACAAATTTCTTCTCAACTGAACATGCCAAGACCACCCTGTTGATCGAAATTCACCAAATTCAATTAACTTCCCATTATGATTCAAAGAGAGAGCAAATAATCTCGGGAAAACAACTTTAAAAGGAGACTCTAATGCCCAACTATCAAACCAAAAACGAATATTCTCTCCATTACCCACTTAAACTTTAAACAAGCTTCGAAACTTAGCACCAAACTGATATTCTTTAAAATGATTGTTGACCACCGATTTCCAAAGCCATGAAGCATTTGCAAGAAGTTTACTCTTGAAACATAACAAACTAGAGTCCAGATTATATTTGCTACAAATCACCTTCTTCCACAAGGACACCCTATCATTAGCAAACCTCCAAGATCATTTCCCTAGTAAAGCTCTATTCGTGAAATTAAGGTTCAACACACCCAGACCACCAAAACTTTTTGCTTTACACACTGTCGACCAGTTAACCCAGTGAATCTTTTTCAACTCTACCCCTCCTCCCCATAAAAAGTTAGCCATGATTGAATTGAGTTTTAAATTCACCGAAGAAGGCATCTTAAATAATAACAAAAAATATGTAGGTAACGAGCACAAAACCGACTTCAATAAGACCAATCTCCCTGCCAAAGAAAGGGTGTTTGCCTTCCAACCAGCCAGTTTTTTGAAAAATTTCTAAACAACCGGATCCTACAAAGCTAAAGAATTTCTGTTAGCGCCAAGCAGCAACCCAAGATAATCCGAAGGGAAACGACTAACTAAACAACCAATGTTACCCGCCCACTCCTTAACCTTTTCCTCACTAATGTTAATACCAAATAATTTGCTTTTGTTGAGGTTCAGTTGAAGACCAGACATAACTTCAAAAACTCGTAAAACTCTCTTTACATTTAAAATCTGTCTTCGATGCATTACAAAAGATAATGAGATCATATGCAAATTGTCGATGAGATAAAATAAAGGAACCCTCATCTTTACCTAAAACCATACCACATAACAGACCCAAAGAAATCGCCTTAAGAAGCAATAGGTTAAGAAGCTCTCCTATAAGGTTAAACAATAGTAGGGAAAGGGAGCAACCCTGTCTAAGGCCTCTAGCCATTAGAAATTCCTCAGTTGGCACACCATTAACCAAAACTGACACCGAGGCGGATGTAATACATTTTCCTAATCCATCTGCACCATTTAATTCTGAAACCCATTTTTACCATCACTTTAAAGAGAATATCCCAATCCACCGTATCATAAGTCTTCCTGAAATCCACCTTGAACACGCAACCCTTTAATCCTTTCTTCCTCCAAAAGTCAATTCCTTCATTAGCAATAAAAGAGCAATCCAAGATTTGTCGACCAGGAATGAAAGCAAATTGCGAAGCACTGATAACATCATTGATGCAACTTCTCAACCTTCTCAAAAGACACTTCGAAAGGATCTAATACATCCCTCCTACCAAACTGATAGGTCTGATGTCATCTAAACCACCAATGTTAGAACCCTTCGAGATGAGAGTTATGAAAGAGTGATTAATACCATGCTCTCAATCTTTTCCCAAGAAAAAATTATGAAAAAATTTCAGAATATCATCCTTAGAAAAAAGCCAAAACCTTTTAAAGAACCCCATATTCAACCCATCAGGCCCTGGAGTTTTATTGCCATCACACGAGTTTAAAATCTCCCAAATTTCTTCTTCCGTAAGCTCTTTTTCTAAAATAAGGCTCTGTTCTAAAGAGATTCTTGAAAAATTCAGCTTAATATCATCCATTTCCAAAGTTGAACGGTCATTAAAAGCTTCAAAAAAATGATCTCGGACACTTGCCTTGATAAGAAACGGATCATAAATGATTTCACCCTTAACATTGAGAGCGTTCAAAGAATTAATCCTCTTCCTAATGGTAGCACAAGTATGAAAAAAATAGAATTCCGGTCTCCATCTTTTACCCATTTCTCTCTTGAACTTTGAAACCATATATGCTCCTCAATCTTGTATAATCTCCACAGTTCATTTCTCAAAGAACACAATTCTGCTACACTGTCTCTGCCCCTCGAAAATTGTTGTTGCTGAAAATTCTTTTCTAATTGATGAATCTTCTCTTCTAAGGCAGTAACTAAAGCACCTGGAAATTGATTTCTCCTACCAGACCATTTTTTCATAGCAGATTTCGTGCTTCTAATAATACTCAGAATTCCAGCTCTTCTGTGAACTTTCTTACACTCTTTGATAGACTCTACAACCTGCTCATCAAACCCATCCTCATTCATTAAATAATTGAACAGCCTGAAAGGTCTCTTACCCCAATTAACTCCCCCACTCTCAAGTATAATTGCATTATGATCAGAAATAGACTTCTTCAGTAAAGATTGAGTGATATCCGAAAAGGCAGATGAGAAATTAATATTTACCAAAAACCTGTCCAATCCGACAACAATAGGATCTTCCCGATTATTACCCCAAATAAAACTTCCCCCCATTAATGGTAGATCAATTAGGCCAGTTTGTTGAATAAAATGCCTAAAAATCTCCATAGAATTTATGTTTTGTGCTATACCTTCCTTCTCATCCTCTGTTAAATATGCATTAAAGTCCCCTCCCACACATAAAGGTATATTGAACCCATTTAGAAACAAACTCAGCTCCTCAAAAAAACCATCTTTCTCTTCCTCCACAGAAGGACCATATACATTAATAAAACCACACCAAAATTGATTCGTTTTGAATTTCCCACAAATGGCAATAAATCTCTTATGTATATGCTGATCTTCTAACTCAAAAACACTATAATCCCAACAACTTAAAATACCACCTGAGGAACCTTCTGTTGGCGATTCAACAAACTCTTAAGATTATTCAAACCACTTCTTCTCAATAAAGAACTTGGAATTATCTCCACTTTTGTTTCTTGCAGAAAAAGAAAAGATGGTTTCTTCTCAGAAACCATTTTTTGAACAACTCGATGCTTTTCTTTTTTTCTCAAACCCCTGGCATTCCAGGACAATATTACTAACTTTAGCATCATAAAAATAAACTAGTGCCAAACTCTCCCACAAATTATCTGCCTATTCAACTATCCACACTCAAGCCTTTCTCCAAATTCATAATTTTATCCAGAAAAGCTTTATTTCCTTCCTTGAATGATAAACCCAACATCTTGCTTATTTCCCAAATAGTGAGAGCTTCCTCCAACAACAATGGAAAAGTTGAGGAGGATATAGTAGAAATACTAACCTGATCTAAAGCATCCATGATCATAGACCTTTTAAATCTACTGCTGAATCTCCTATTCCTCGATCCATCACTGTCCCCTTCTATAAAATGAACAACCTCTGGAATTTCAGATTGAGCTGATCTTGAAATTATAGCTTTCTCCTTCTGTTTGCTTAAATCCCCCTCTGTTACAGTACTAAAACCCTGCACATTTTGAAGCCATATATTCCTCTCCCTTGACCTTCTATAAACTCTCTTATAACTTCCGATCATCCTCCTTCCATCCGGAGTGCTCTTCATGGATAATGAACTTGAACGATTTTGCAAATCACCCCTTATTCTTGTCACATTAAAACCTTCAACGGACCCCACATTTACTGCATTCAATGCTGGATTCTCTGAACCAACCTCTACTATTAACTAACAGTGGTTTTCCCCCTTTTACCTCCTTCCCCTGAACTGCTGGAAGAAGTCGGATACTGATTTTGACTTCCAAACCCGAGCCCATTTATTTTTACTGTTGAACTTGCAGGAATTATCTTCTTTATAGGAGAAACGGGCTCACTGCTCCCCACTGATTGGGCTTGTATGCTAAAATTTGAAATATCCAAATTTCTAATGCCCAACCCAGCATACTCTCCCATTTTGCTACTCCCAAAACTGTGCAAATTTAACACCCCTTCATTAATGCTTTTCCCATCGCTGCTGCTTCTTGGAAACTGATTTCCTCTACCAACTTCAACAAAACCGGAAGAAACTCCCTGATTAATCCACATGTCAACTTTCTTACGTGCATCCTCGACCAACCGAACAGAACCTACCTTGTCAGGTGAGTTTAGACTGTCAACTTCCTCCTCCGATGGCTCTATGGCAGTGTCTCTTCCATCGGAATCTTTCTCTGGCGATATGCTTGGAAAAAAATTCGAAAAACTAGATGTCGAACTTAGTTTAATTTTCAGCTTGAAAGATCTTCCATACGACCCTAGGGTGATCACTTCCGGGACTTCAAACGGGCTTGCCACCTTATCAAAATATTCACCGTCGTAAGATCTTTCCCTGTTTTTTGTCGATTCCCCACCTCCCAGCTAACTTTTCCAGAAAAGCCTCTTGCCAACATAACAAAGGAACACCATAAAGCTCCACCAAACAGAAAGCCATTGGCACTCCTACTTCATTCAGTAGAGGTGCCAACCAGTCGAACCAGAACCATAACACCTCACTCTTATTCATCCAAGCCTCCTTCATCTCCTCATCTGATTTGAATGTGACAACACAAGAGTTCCAAACGTATCCCCAACTAACAATCTTGACTTCAAAACCTTCATTAGCCAAAGCACTCTAAACCAACTCCAATTCAAATGATTGTTTGACTATACCTGTTAGTGACCGTTTCACCCAGCTTGAGCTTTCAGTGGGAATATGCATATCCCAAATATTCTTCTTCCCTTTCCCCCTTTCTGAACTATCATTTATATTCTCTCTATTATCCAAATCCCTCCTTTTCTTACTGCTCGTCAACAAGGCATCCTTATATGATCTATCATCCCTTATACTTCTCGGAAGCTCAGCTCTCTCCTTTGGTTTAGCTTTTTCTTCTGTAATCAGCTTTGAAGCATCAATTAGTGACCGAGCTGTTCCTACTATCCTCTTTCTGATATTTTGCAACTCCAACAAATACTTTCCTCCCATCCATCCACGACCCGTTTATATTCTCGATTGCCTTTCTCATACCTGCTTCATTATCAAACTGCACGAAAGCGAATGTGGAAGATTTATACTTTGGTTTATTCTTCTCATTTGGAATGAAAACTCTCACCACATGGCCCTGGAATAGAAAAAGATCCCTTAACGCTCTTCTAAAGACTCTCTTGCTAAGATTGTCTACGAAAATAGTCCAACTCTCGCAGGAGGAAGACTAACCTTTCTCTCTTTCTCTCTCTACGTTTCTGACTCTCTCACTCAATTTTTTTATATTCTGATCTAGATTGGTTTGAAAAAAAATTAGAATAACTTACCCCGAAAAGCAAAAGAGCCGGCTATCAAAAAGAGAGATCCCCTTTAGAACTGACCACCTTTGATTCGAAATAGAAGATGCTTCATAGGCAATTTCCTGGACTGCTGCATCTAATGGTTCGTAGCCATCTGTAAAAAGGATGAATCTGTGACACGTAACTTCTAGAACAGTTCGGACAACATCTAGAAATGCTCGAGGATTCCTCATAAACCCCATACTGCAAACAGCAAATTAACACTTGGTTCAGAAAAGACGCTTTAAAGCTACTATTATCCATTAATGAATCATAAAATATATAACCCAAACATGCATAGTAGGATCCATACATATTACAATTCCACCATATTATGAATATCAAACCGTGTTCTATCAATATTTTAAATTAAAACAATTAAGTTACAGAAACACCAATATACAGTGATAACACAATAGCTGAGGGAGATAAAAGGCACTTTCTGCGGACAGCTATCACGCAAAGCTTGTGATCCTACCTTCCAATAGAACTCAGCCCTATGAATATCGGTGGCCTTGACAATGGATTTTTTAGAAAATATTGTAGATCAGCATGAGCTGGACACAGATCATCAGTGGTTAGATACCCTGAGGAAAGCAGTGTTGAAATTTGTCCACATTCTAGACAGGAAAACTGCCACTCTTTAGGGACAAACCAAAAGCCACAAACCCGAGTATTTGATGGCCAATAATCTGTTAACACATTGATATCATAAGCAATCCAAATATAAGGAAGAAGGAACAGAACACAAAATAGGGTGCAGTGTTACAGATAGGATTGCAGAATCAACTAGTTATAAAAAAAACTCTATCGTAAAATACAATCCAACAAAATTCAGCGCATATAAACACTGTCAAATGTTTCGTGAAAGGAATCTGAAACAAGAAGTACAGAAACTAAGGAGTTACCAGGGCACTCAACAATTTCTTTGCTAAACCCATACCTGTGACATAAAAGCCTTTGATAGTCAGAGATGAGTGCCATGTATTCATCTTAAAATATTTTTCCAAAGACATAACTCCAAAAATTATTGATGCATGGATTGCATGCTCATCTCACACTTGTTTCAAATTTTCTATTAAATCACAAATAAAGCCTCATATGGGACTTATTTCATAAATTCAAATAATTTTTAGTACTCTCTATCTAACCTTATGATGGAACGCTATAAAGTGTTGCAACCAGTATTGTCAAGGAATGAGTTTAGGAAAGCCTGCGCCTTAGCATTATACAACAAAAGCACCTCATACCTTTTCAAACCAGGCCCATTCAGTTAGCCACACTGTGCATGCCTAGTGTGCCTAGGCATGCTTTTTGTTAAGGCATAGGCATAAAAAATGCCCAACTGATTGAATTTCTCTATAATTTCTTTTATTTTTCACTTTCTTCCATTGATATAATTTTACTAGTAAGAAAGAGATAATATTAAACCCTATACTTAGTAATATTTGAGTACTCGATAACAAACATTGATCTTAAGAAACACATGCAAATTGACCAATAAAAAAATTGCAAGCTTTGTAAATAAACTAGACCCACTTTAGTGTTTATAATATATCTCAAGCTATTTACATATAAGCTCAAACATACATATCACACTTCACTCAAGCTAGCACCCTTTTTGCACCTGGTGCCTGAGACAATTTAAGGGTTTGAGCGCCCAGAGTGCACATTGTGCCCTTGATAACGTTGGATGTAACACATTCACCTTGACTCAGTTGGATAATAAGAGTGAAGCATTATTGCAATTGATTGTTCAATCATTCAATAAGTCATTTAATTTATAAACTTCCTATGTGAAACAGCATTACTTACAATAGTAAGGGAGATGGTGGCCTATCATGCCAAGTAGGAAGATCTGTTACCGGATCCTGCTTAGAACATCTAACACCATCTTAAATTAAGTAGCTTTTAACTACATAATAAGTAAATGAGCTCCAAAATAGAAGTACTAACTGTAAAAGGATATGGACTCAAATTCAAATCCTCACTTCTCCATGACGCCCAATTTTCACTAAAAAGTGGCCACATCCAATGAATTACATCTTTCCAACAAACCTACATTCATACACCAATAAGAGTTAATGTGCAAAGATGCATCTTCAAACAAATTAACAAGAAATGGTAACAAATCAAAACAATTATCATGTCAGAGTGAAAAGGGAATGTCAGTTGATTTGTTTGAAGCGCTTATTTTGTATAATTCAACTACCTTATCAGCGGGAGCTTCCTGGAAATATTTGTACAAAAGAGGAAGTTCTTTTCTGAAGTGACGCTCAAAGAATGAAGGTGCACTATGCAATAAATTGTAAACAAGAAAGATTAAATAAGTTGCAGATAGTTAAATAAACCCACTGCCAATAGGCAAACGGAGAAATCATAGCATAAGCTATAGATTCTCCACTAAGAACTTTACTTGTCAACAAACTTGCTGAAAGAAACAGATATAATAACTTGAATTTGACACACTGACAATCATTCAGGATTTGTCTCTCATCAGTTAAATTCATTGAACACATCCCAACCCAACAAGTGAATTCCATTTCCCGAGGAAATATGGTTAACATTTTTTCTAGAAAAAGAGAAATAATAATATATAGAACTCAGTTCTTAAGATATAAAATAAAATTCATTCATTTACCTATAAGGAACGACGTAAGGAGCAAGAACAATACAACGGACAGAGAAAAGTTCTGCAAGGCTCCACCCTTCCTGTACAATCACGAAAATACAACTTTAAAAGGAAATTGAATCAACACATTCAGTCTTAAGTTTCAATAAATCAATCAAACTTAAAAAGTAACTTAGAATTGTTTATTTATTAAATTAGTGACAGTAACTATCAACTTATCAGGCAAATCGAATTTAACTTTTTTACTTTGTCCAAAAGAAATACCAAAGCAAAGAAATTTATCCCAATAAAATCACCCTCCAAGCATGGATCATCACCGAGTAGCCTTTCAACTGCCGAATAGCATTCTCTTCTGTGCTCTTTTGTAATAATCTTTTTCTGCTCTAAAAATTCTAGTTCCGGTGAACCTGACAAATTAACATAAACTCATAGAAAAAGCAACAATATGGAAATAAAAAAGGAATTAATCGAATTAACCTGTATTATCATCAGTTCCATTACTAGAAAGAACAGGTGGCGAGGAAACTGGAACATAAGTTACATCCCTTTTTGCCAAATGTGAACTTAGATTCTGCAAGATATTGAATAAAAAAGTTACTGTTTCAGCTAACTTTGCAAAAAAAAAAAAAAAAACAAAGTATACTTCTCATTAATCGGTATTCGGTAATTAAGAGAGGAAAGAGAAAAAGGAGCACCTCATGCGCTGAATGAGTGATAAAAGCGACGTCGTAACCATTCAGGTCCGTAGAAAAAGCTGCAGCAATGGCCTGGGATCAACAATAAATAAAGACGGGAAATTAAAAAAAAAATTCTTTAACGGAAACTGAATCAATTTTAAGAATACAAAATAAATAAAATAACTAATTACAGCTATAGGGTAGACGTCGCCTTTGGTGCCGAAAGCTATGAAAACGGCTATCGGTCTTGTCCTCGCCGCATCATTCCCTCCCTCCATCGCGGTTGAAGTGTTTCCGCAGCTCAAAGAGGATCTAGGAAACCCCAAAGAAATAAACAAGATCAAGAATAAACTTAAGATTAACAAGATGGCTTTTGGGAGAAGTACTTTACATTTTCTTTAAACAACTAGTAGTTTTAGCACAGTCATTTCTTAGGTCAATTAAGATATTTTAGATAAAAATATAGGGTAAATTGTATAATTACTAGCTTATATTCTTATCACTCATATTTTAGTCACTGTGTTTAAAATGTTTCAATTATTAATAATATTATGCATTGATTTTTTTTGTCACTTATTAATAGAGATGAGTAAAATTTAACTTGAAAAATTATTTTTTTAAAATTTTGAGTTATTTGAATCCAGTTATTTGAGTCAACTCGAATTATCGATTCAATTTTTAAGTTTCAGTCAATATGAAATTTGGAAATTTCAAGTTACTCGAAAAACTAAAAATTTGATTGATAATTTTACGATTTAATCCCTGATTTTCTTATTCATTCAATTCTTTTTTCATTTTGAGTCCACTTTTTTATCAATTTTGAACCACATACTTATTAACCATCATAGAATATCTATGTGCTTTCAATTCTACTCTTTGATAACATTTTTTTTAATTTTTTAATCTAATCCCTCAACTTTTTATGATTTTCATATTTCTTCAATTCATCCTTCATTTTAAATCCATTTTTTACCAAATTTGAACCACATGCTCTTATACTACTATAGAATACCTATGTAACTTCAATTCCTATTTTTTACTAAAAATATACTTTTTTATTTAGTCCATTAAATTTCTATTTTTACTCAATTTGATCTTTTGACTATAATTGTTTGCAAATTCTTTCTTTCCAACAATTATTGGACTATTTTATACTCTTATTAATACTTTACCATCAAAATATCTTCTTTAAAATATACTACTGTAAATACGTTTTATAATTTTATATTGTTTTTGATATATTAAATAATATTATAACGTGAAAATAATATTAATATATTTATCTTATATGGTTAGAAAAAAAATCAAAAAATTGGAATCAATCCTTACCATAATACTATAAGTAATTATAATAAAATTTATATAGAAACTCGAATAATTTGACTCAAATTTCTTAAACTCGACTTGAAAAAATTTCAAGTTAAGTTCGAGTTACAAAATATGACTCGTCAACTCGAATAACTTGAAATTTTTTTACTCGACTCGATCGAATGCTCACCTCTACTTAAATTTACATTTAAAATAAAATAAAGTTGAATTTCATGGGGGAAAATAACCCACTCAAACAAATAAGGTGTACTTTCAAAAGCAGCATTCCAGCAGTCTATTTGAGTTTCATCGCTTAGAATGTAAATCGGAATTGCTTCACCGGAGAAGCATTCAAGCGGTTTGTTTGAGTGGGTTCTCAAAGGCAACCATTGTTAGAACCCTTGCGTTTAATATATGAACTTTCTTCTCAAAAGCTACTTCGATCTTGCTGTCAAAATGGCTTCAGTTTTGCCTTCTGCTTCCATCGTTTTCAAAGACAACAATGCATACTCTCAAAAGATTGTCCATGGTGCGCAAACATTACTCTTTAAATTTTAGTTTAACTCAATGACATTTGAGCATAACTCGACTGGTTTGGAGTTGGCACTGAAATCGGAGTAACTCTACAAACTACACAGATCATGTGGTAAGCCAACCAAGCGTCGATACAATCACACGTGACAATATTTCAGAATTAAACGTAAAATTTCATTGTCTTGGAACTCCTTAAACAAATCGCGCCGTTTTTTCAAGTTTAAAATCTTTAACATATTTTTCTTTTATTAATAAGATCTTTAACATAAGAATATACAAAATGGATATATTTATAAATATTAATACATAATATGTACATATATATTCAAAAATATTTAATATATATTTTTGTATACAAAGTACAACTTATAATATATCATATAACAATTAAAATACTAATTAATATAAGCATGCATATATATATATATTATAATGCAAACGTAAGGCATAAATATATTTTTACATACAATATATAAACATAAATATAATATAAAGGCAACAAATAAATCTTATAGATATTCAACATATAACTTTATATATAAAATATATAATATAACAAGCAAAATATATCTAACATATAATATTTACAAATTAATATATATGGCATATAAGAAAATACCTAACTTATATAATATACCTATATAAACAAGAAACATACATATATACGTCAACATATACCTTATATAAATTATAATAACATAATTGCATAGAGACATTGCTAAAAAATAATTATTATTATATGGGAACATTACAAGAATAATAAATGGATATATATATATATAGTAAGAAAGCTTTTACCTAATGAGAATATATATAAAAAAAGTAAATCAATACTAATAGCATTAAACTTTAAAGTATATAGAAATTAAATCAATTACATGAAAATAGATTGAAAATTATAATAAAAATGGAAACTAAATAAATAGAATTTAATGGAGGAAATAAAGATAAGAAATTCAACATAATTACCAGGAAAATAAATGTTTCAAATGTAAATACAATGTTAAATAAGTAAACTAGAAATAAGGACTAAAATAATACTAAGAAAAGTGCATTGTACAAATAAATAGAGCAAAAAATGAAATCACAAAAGGGCCAAATTTAAAATTAAAATAAAAACAATATCAATATTAAAATATAATAATAAGAGGAAAAGTGATCGAAATGCTATGAATAAATAAAAAGTAGCAAAATAAAACAAAAAAATGTGACTTTTAGTGATTGATGTGTAAATAGGCACCTAAACTAGGGGACTTGGACATGATTAACCCTTAAAAATAATGACACGTAAGGAAAAGGGAAAGTAGCATTTTTGGCCCCTACAGGTGACCAAACTGCAAAAACACGCTAAAAGTGGGGGATCTCAACGTAATCTCCCCCAAACTTTTATCTGTAAATAACAAACTTTCTTTTTTCATTTCAAACTGAATAAAAAAAGCTCTCCCCTACGGCCGTAGGCCAGCCACCTCGAATCCCCTCTGGTCATCGTACATGATGGACGAAAAACCCAAAATGCCCTGAAAACTTCACTGGACCTAGATTTAACCCCTAGGACCTAGTTTAGGGCTTAAAAACACTGAAAATCCTCTAAAACTACTCAAAATCTGCCTAAACCCCCGAACTCCAACGACGACCCCTCGAATCAGTTATCACAACGATCTAGTTTTTCTTTTATTTCTCTGTATTTACTGTAAAAAGACTTGGACTTTGTTTTATTTTGACTAAAAATAAGCTTCTTTTTTGTGTGTTCACTGTCATTTGAAACCAAAATAGGCCCCTTTTATCATTACGTTTTCGATGATCTTTGAAACTAGAAAAACATTTTTTGGAGACTATTATTTGAAAATAAAGAAACCTTTTTGTTCTTTTACTGCTATTCTAATATGAAACAAAAAATCGAAAGTGAATAACCTTGAATGTGATGTTTATTGCTTTAAAAACAAATTGTGTTACAATGGTTTTTTTAAGAATCCAGAGAGAGAGTTTTCTCGTTTTCATGCATGGGTCTTTATACCCATTGTAACATCCCAAAAACTAGATTAGTGACTAAATTATAAGATTTTGAAACTTTGTGTCCAATTTAGAAAAAATTGAAAAGTTCATGGATTTAATTAAAAATTATTTGAGTAAGATTGATTAGTAAAAATGGAATGATAGAAGGGCATTTTGGTTTTTTGGAAATTAATCAATTTAAAATTCTTTATGGGTTTTATATCTACACGTGGAGAAGGGTTAAGAAAATCCAGAGTTTTCTCATTCTTTCTCCATCCTTTCTTCCTTCTCTCTACATGAATGCTTGGCTAAGGTAAGTATTATTTCAATAGGTTATTTTTTGCACTTGAGTAATGGTTTTGATTCTTGAGGTGTTAGGAATGCTTAAGGAAAGCTTAAAGTTGTTTAAAACAAAAAGATGGATAAGTTATGAGAGAAATTATATAAGAGTTTTTTAAGTGAAATTGTGGAAAAGAGTTAGTAATTGGATTTTGAAACTGAATTTGACTTGTCATCAGTTAAGATAAGAAGTCTAAGGTGTTAAAAATGAAATTAGAACATGTTCAAAATTTAGTAAGATTCTTAGTTTCAAGAATTATGATAAGATATTGATGATGATGAAGTGTTATAGTGATATAAAATGGTTTGAGTGAGTATAGTTGAGTTTTATGACATGAAAGAAGTTGTAAAGTGGAGTTTAAGTAATTATTAGTAATATTTTGGGTTAATGGAAGGAGTTCTGGGTTAGAGGTATCAGTACTATATGAACAGTACCGATACTTCAAGTAAAAATTAGAAAAAAATTGGGTTAGGGTATCGATACTATATGAACAGTATCAATACCATAAGCTAAAGTGAAGGAATTCTTCAGGGAAGTATCGATATTGAAGTAGTAGTATCGGTACTGGGGGTATCCATACCAATAAGTAGGTATCGGTACCATTTTTAGAATAAATTTCAGAAGCGATAAAGGTATCGATACCGAAGCATAGTATTGATACCCTAGTAAAGAAGTATCGGTACTATACCTAAGGTACTGATACTAATCATATGGAAATGGTTAAATTAAGTTCTTTGTTTAGCATATGTTCTTAAGGAATTACTTATAGTAATTGAAGTATGATATTCATATAATCGTCTATGTAGATATCGAACGAAAGCAAAGTCCCGACAATTCAACGAAGTAAGACTGAGCAAGAGAGAGATAAAGAGTTGGTTGGACTAAGTGAGACTAAAGTGAGTGCATACTAGTATGTATATGGTGTTTTATGGAAATGAGACTTGCGATGAGTTTATTTCCAATGTTTCCATTGCATGATTCCATTAATTTAATTATATGTCTACGTGTTATATGCATTATTATATATGAGTTATGTTTGACATGTTATCATATGTAACCATGATATGGGTGTATAAATGAGAATAAGAGATAAGCCATGTGAATCTGATATATGTGAATACATGTATATGTGACAAGTTATGTGAAACTGAACTAAGTGAATATATGAAACTAGAATATAAGCT